GATAGCCGGCAGCCCAGGGCCCTGTCAGCAGAGAGACACAGGCAGACACAGCCCAGGCAGCTCCAGGGAGGGCCGTGGAAGCGAGGGGCGCTCACGGAGAGGGAAGACCCACGGGAAGGCTGTCTGATGGCGCAGGCTGCCCCACGGTGTGCTGAGCGGGATCACAGGCAGCCTGCGGGAGCCGGCAGCAGGACTTGGGGAAGGAAGGGACCTGTGCGACGGGCTCAGGGGCGTCCGAGGGCCTGCGTGGGAAGGAGCAAGGTGGAAAAAATGGCCCTGAGCTCCTCTGGACAGCCAGGAGCTGCAGGAGGCAGGGGAGAGGGCCTAGGACACGGCTGGAGAGGACGGCTGGAGGCCGGCTATCAGCCCCAGGGACCGCCAGGGGAGGGGACCAGCGCTCTCCGAGGAGCAGGACACCGAGCCATGCGGCCATCCTGGTTCTGAAGAGTGGAGACCGGGCGGCAAGGGGCTGAGCAGGCTGAGGAGACCCGGGTCCCCTGCACGGGACACACCACACCCAGGACAGCCCACGGTGACCCTCCGGGCTGGGGCGCCAAGACCGGGGGCCTGGGGCCACACTCACGGCAGCTGCTCCAAAGAGGTCCAGGCCAGGCTGGTGGCATCTGCTGTGTCTGCTCTGCGGCTGCGTGGGCCCCTCTCTGCAGGTGGCCGTGGGGGTGGCAGCAGGCCCGGCCCTCACTTCGGGCCCCGGGGAGGCACTGCCACTCCCAGGCCCAGTTCCTGCTGCAGAGTGGGGCGGCCGACTTGACAGCAGAGTAGCCCCCAGGGGTCAGTGCTGTGAAGCTAGCCGGGTGCTGCCCAGAGTAACTGACGTGCACACGAGCCCCTTACGGCCTCCCCTGCCTGGGCTGGGCCTGGAGCCCGTGCTGAACCAAAGCCAGCGCTCTGTCTGAGAGACAGACTGACCAAGCAGCCAGACAATCCTTTACCCACACACGCACCCACTGGGCTGCAGCCTTCCCCACCCCCTCAGCTAGATCTGTCCTGTCAAACGGCCACGGCCTCAGCTGCACATTCCAGATGACTTGGGGTGGCCGTGGGAGGGACCGGGATCCCAGCAATGCCCGTCCAGCTGGGCCAGGCAGTGCCACCCTGGCGTGAGGGGCGCTCTCTGCGCCAGTGGGTGGAGGGATCAGCTCTGCACAGGGACGGGGAGTGGGTGACCTGAAGGCCGGGGTCGGAGCCGCACGTGCAAATCCACAGCCACATCTATGTGTTTGCTTCCCGACAGTCTGACAGTAATCGTCTCAACAGCAGACAACTCAATAAACAAGCGAAGGACCCCGAAAATCCCAAATCTCAGCTGCTAATCCCCTGGACGCCCAGGAATTAATTGGCAGCTGCAGATCCCACTCCCTGGGAGCTAATCGGCAGCCGGAGTGGCCGAGGGCCAGCAGGAACTTATTTTCCCCCTCAGTGCACCCAATTTCTCGACTCCTTTAACATGCATTTATGCTCCTCATATTAGTCCCAGCTCCGGGGGCCTGGGGACTCTTCCAATTGCGAGCTCCAGGAACCCACAGTCCAGCGGACTGAAAAGCTTACGAAACACCACAGAAAAACACCTGAGGTCACTGCTGGGTGGGAGCGTGGGGCGACGGGACAGGAGACAGCACTGGCGCTGCCTCTCCCGACACAGACAGGAGCAGACCTTCTACCTGGGAACTCCGGTCCTGGACACCGTCTCTGAGGGCACTGCACAGGGTGGCTCGGGGGCATGGGAGCCTTCCGCACCCACCCGGACCAGTGTCTCAGCGATCCTTACAGCCCTGCAGGAATACGGTGAACCTGGCACGAGGACAAAGCCACCGCATGCTGCTACCAGTGTCACATGGGAAAGGCAAGGCGCAGAAGGGCGCACAGGGTGTGGGAAGCACGTGGAGGGAGGGGCAGAATCTGCTTGTGCCACACGCACACCTGCCAATGTCTGTGGCAGGTTCCAGGGCTGTTGTGGTCAGAGGATGGGGAGTTTCCTCCACCGCAGCACCAGGCGGGTTCAGTGGCTACCTGGCCAAAGCTGAGCTCCCGAGATCACTGCACACAGAGCGCGGGGCGGGGCGGGGTGGGGCGAGGGCGGCTGGAGCCTGGGAGCCATGCGCGCTGCCAACGGTAGGAGAGGCTGAGCTGGGGTGGTGCCAAGCAGAGGAGCACGGGGACGGACTCGGCGGGGTCTGCTCTGCGGCTGAAAGCAGAGGCAGGCTGTGTGCTCTCCTGGGAGAACGCGCAGCACCTTTGGCAGGAGCAGCCCTGGCTGCCACGGGGGCAGAGGATGGGAAAGGAGAGCAGCCCAAGGCCTCAGCCAGGGGTGAGGGGAGGCTGCACTATTGTGCACAGGTGTGTCACGCCGAGTTCTAGTCGGACAACCAGGCACCCAGGAGAGGACTTGGTGCTCGCGGCGGGGTGTGTGTGTGTGTGTGTGTGTCTCTTCGCTTCAGATGTGTCACTCTGCGGGCCCAGGAGCGAGGGTCCCACTGCAGCAAAGGCCAGAGAACAGCAGGAGCTCCAGGTGACAGCTCTGCCCCGGGTACCACTGGCGCCCTGGCAAGTGTTGAGAGGGCCCAGGGCGGGAGCAGGGAGGTGGCAGCTCACCCCTGCGCTTGGGACCATGTGCACCGCACCCAGCCAGCCAGCCAGCCCCGGACCAAGCGAGGCAGGAATCTGCTGAGATGTGGCGGTTTGCAATCCCAACCTCCAAGTCACTGCTGGGCCATGTGGGGGTCCAGGAGCAGGAGCAGGGAGCACGGGGCGCTGCGATCACAGCCGGGGCAGCCAGGAAAACAGGGGCTGCCTTTTCTGGAACCCGGTGAGCATGAATCTCTCCACGCCTGCCTTCAAGCCAGATGTGCCTCGGCAGGAGAGAAACACTGCCTATGCGTGAGGTCCTGGCAGAGCTCGAGCTGGGGCTGTGGGTACACAGTTCCCTTTTGAAAGTGACCCCTAAAGTCAGAAGCGAGGGGCCAGGAAGAATGAGACAGGGAAGGGAAACTGACGCAGGTGCACTGTGCGCTGGTCAGCCCTGTGGGACACCGGGCTGCTGCTGGGTGATGCCGGCCAGGGCTGGGAGGCGGCCGAGGGCGCTGCAGATGCAGGACGCAGCTCTCCTGTGCAGAGACGGAGACGGGGGAAGGGGCGTGGGCTGCACCTGCTCCTGGGCCCCCCTGACCTGAGCCCACACGCACGCCCAGCCAGGCCAGGGTCTAAGCCTCTCCCTCTGCACTGCAGTCGCGGCCCTGGGGTTCTTCTGAGGCCTCAAGACTGAGCTCCCGCAGCCCCGCCAGCACCGTCCCTTCCTCTGGCCACCTCCGCCTCCCTGCACGGCACCCCCATCTCTTGGCAGATGCCTGGGTGCAGCCTCCTGGCCTGAGGGATGAGGGCACGGTGCCCCTCTGCCCAGCTATTGGGTGGGTCTTCTAAGGCCAGTCCCACCTGCTTCCCTCCTTTCTCCAGGACCCAGTCCCACGCAGAGGGACCCCGTCCACCGCTGCAGACACACAAGTGGGCCCACAGCGAGGCCTTCGGGCTGTGGGGTGCGCCCAAAGGGGAGTGTGGGGCCAGCCCGGCCCCGCTCCTCCAACTGTCGCCCATACCCCAGCCCAGGTAAAGGCTCTGCCCAGCCATGTGGCTGAAACCCCAGCGCAGCGAACCAAACTCGCCCGCTCTCTGTGCTGACTCAGCTCAGGCTTTTCTGCTGCCGTGTCAGGCAGATGAGAGACACCCTCTCGCCCAGCCCTCACACCGGGGCCGGCGCCCACGGCGCGCTTGATGAGTTCACACAGGCCGATCCGACACCTACTGGAGGAGTCTCCCACAGTTTGGGGGTGCTAAGGGCTATAAAGTGGGCCACCATGGCTGCGTACCCACAGGTCTCTCACCCTGAGGAAACCACACTCAGAAGCCCATGGCCCGCTCGACAGGGAAGAAAAATCACCTCACTCTACAGATGCACGTGGGGTTGCAGAAAATTGTTTCACATTTTATTACATCAATGGCTTGAAAATTTTTATTTAATTTCAGCAAATATTGGAAATAGAAAAATGAATTCTGCAGAATTTCACAAATAAAATCTTCCAATTCCCACTAACAAATGCTATCATTCAATGGCTAAGCGACTGTAATGCTATGAACGTCCACCACAACGAGTGTGGGAAAGAACAGAGGCGCAGAGACGCGGAGATGACGCACGACAGCGTTCGTACAACGTATCTTCTGTAAAATTTCACCGTGGGTTTCATCACTTCAAAAGATATACAGCATTTCAATTATATTTGCAAACTTAACCTTATACATCTTTTAAAATCTTGAAAAATTTTTAAGCAATCTAAAAAGCACTTAGCAAAGTTGTAAGTCTACATATGGAATACTATCCATTCCGGTATAAATTTTCATTTAGGAGAAGGTGACTGTAAACACTCATTATTTTACAACATGCATAGACTATCCTGACCTTCCTTCTTCTGAATTGTAACGTTACCGCAATTGTGCTTTACTACAAATAGGAGAAGCTGCAGAGCCCCAGGTGTGGCGGAAAGCATTGCACGGGTCGCTAATTTTGAGGACTAACTACCTGGACTTCACTGGAGGTGGGCTCACGGGATGCTGAGAGCTGGAATCCTGGGCTCACTAGATCAGAAACAGGTAGGACAGAGGGGGAGGGGGGCGGGGGAGGAGAAAGAAGGAGGGAGAGAGAGAAGGAAGGAGGAGGAGAGAGGCTCTCGCTGGAGTTGGGTCCATCTTTCCTTTGCTCGCGTAAAAGCAGGGATCCAGTTAGTGTAATGCACTGTTTGGCTTCTTTTTGGTGTGCAATTATACCAATAGTACATCTGATATTTAGAAAGACAAAAATAGGGTAGAGTTGAAATTTAAAGTGACAATGAGCACACTTAGAGTGGTGTGGGACATTTGAGGAAATTTAACATAAACAGAAAAGAATTGCTTCATTAGTCCACCACAGTAAGCTTTTGAAACTATTTTCATTTTTGTTTTTCACTAGCGGCTTGTGACTGTCCACGGGTCCTATGGGTTAAAACTAGCGAAGTTGCTTGGAGGACGCGGTGTCCTCCGAGGGCCCGGGACAGCAGGGAGGATGGGTGAGCCACACTAACCTCGTGCTCCTGCGCACCAGCACCTGCCCAGCCTGGCTGGGCTCAGCCAGGCGACCGAGGCACAGCGGGCGCGGGGTCAGAGAGCCGCACCGGGAGCCGATCGCTGCTGCTGACCAGCCGACAGCATTCAAGTAACGAGGTGTTTAATGGATACATGAACACGAGTTTTACCTAACACTTACACATCTACATAAAATTAAATAAAACAAACTTTTAATGCATATCAATACAATTTATATCTTTTAGGATTTCTAAACTAAGAGTTAAACTATTTTTGTGTCCATGATACTATATTTTGCACAATAACTTATACTTAGGAGAATTTTTCCACAAAAATATATATAATTATGACATTCACATTGACAATTTTTAAGAACACAAAGCTAAGTGACATTCCACCTGAAGCAGTTATCACACCCCAAACCTCGCCCACCGACGCACCGATTCTTGATATGTTAGAGTCGTCACATAAGTAAGGTCAGAGGACTCATCACCTGGCTTTGGAAGCAAAGTGACTTCTTGCATTTACATAATTGCCAAGAGTGTAATGAACAGCATTTACAGTACAGTGCTACCAGATGCACAACCTACAGCAAGGGCCGCCATGCAGACCACTGCTCCCCTCTGCCACGCTGCAGAGCAAGCTCGGACTGAGTGGCTGTGAACCTCAGGACACCGCATGTGACCGTCAGGGCTGGGGGATGCCCTGTGCCAGGGACGGAGGCGGCCAACGCAGAGCAGACTGGGGCCCAGCACCACGCCACCTGCAGATGAGCATCACTTCTAGGCTTTGCCTGAGGGCTCACGTTTAAAGAAACGGGTGGGCATCAAGAAAGAGAACCATCGGCAGGGCAGGGCAGGGCAGCGCAAAACAGCCATCATGGCAGCTGCCTACCACTGCTGCCGCCAGGGCCAAGGGTGCAAGTCCTGCCAGGAGGATGGAAGCCCGAGTGAGGGCCTCAGTGCCCGTGAGCCAGCTCTGCCCTGCACTTTCCCACCGACCCTGTCACACGGCAGGCTTATGGTAACAAAAGAAAACTGCCCAGCGCTGACGTCACTTTGCTACCTCTCTGTAGGTGGGAACAGCAGGCTTTCCTTGGCTGGTGGACACGCTGTGTGGGACAAGATGAGGGAAGTCCCTGTACTCCCCTTTGGAATGACCGTTCCCCAGACGTCTAAAACAAAATGTACAAACCCCAAACCTAGGGTCCTAGCTGAACCTCTTTCTAAAGAGCAAATCAGCTGACACACACAAAAAAGAAAAAAGAAAAAAAAAGCAAGGTGCTTGGGAGTCAAAACATCAAATTTCTAATTGCATATTTAAAATCCTTAACAATTCTGTCTATGCCTTAAAGCATCTGCATTTTTTCTTTTTGGTATTAAAAGCAGGAAAATAAAATTCCAATGATGCGAACGACACCCGAAGCTCCTCCCACATCTTCAGTGCACGTGCTGTGTGCGGCGCCAGGCGCGGCGCGGCCCCACACCTCGGCCTCACGGGCCCAGGTCCGGCGGGAGAAGCAGTGACTCGGGTGAGCTCAGCACACTGATTAGAAAGCCCGCTTGTTCCCAGTCCAACCGAGAGGCCTGGCAGGCCACTCTGCAAATGGCGCCTTCTCATCCTGGCTCACTAGACCAACACACCAACCACTTCTCTGTCCTGGACTCTGCTTCAGAGAGGGGATGGTACCTGTGTTATCACATCAGCACTAGAAGGACATAAAGGGATGCGTGGATTGATGCGCAGCGGGTCAGGCACACCAAGAGGACAGGAACGAGGGTGTGTTGCTCCCAGGAACCCACCACCAGCTATTCTCACCCCTGTAGGCGCTAAGCTTGCGTCTCACATCTGCACTGCTGGAGCCAGGGGAAGCGCCCCCTGTCTATCTCGATGATGTCATCTTTGGCAAGCAATAAACTTTAAATAAGACACTTGAACAGAAAAGGGATCGGTAACATGGTCGCCAAGAGGAGAAGGCACCAATTCCGAATGGACAAGCACCAGGTACAGTGATAGGGACCGAATCTCTCGGAGCTGGGCGGTGCGAGTGGTGGTCAGGGATTGGGAGAAGATGGGGGCACCCACCCTGGGACTACAGTGCTGAGGTTGAAGGCAGAAGCGTTGAGGTCCAACATTCCCTGTAAGCTACAGTGTCCAAGGACAGTTGCTGAGAAGGAGCCTTTAAACACTTGGGAAAGGAGAGAGGGGAGAGATTTAGGCCAACCCAATTTACGAGTAATTCCACCTCACACGTGGGGAACTGTGAGTTGCACCAGGGTGCTTGGCACAGTAAGGTTACAATGCAGTCTGCCACTGTGTTGTGACTTCCAAAGACGACGATGTTACTTAGGTGGCTGCCCCGGGAAAGAACCACAATCAGTTATTCTGAAAGTTACATTATGCACAAGTAGAAATCGCAGGCCATGCAGGAACAGAGTAGGGCCTTCTGAGACTACCTGTTCTGAAGCTGCTGACGGGAAGAGCTGCCATGGGTGGGGCACGGGGCTCCAAGTCGGGGGCGGGTCCCAGAGTTGAGGGGGTGCAGGCGTGGGCTCCCCAGCACTGAGGCAGAGTGAGAGATGCAACAGAGCTCTCTGGGAAGTGGTGCCAACATGGAGGAACGAGCAAAGAATTAAGGCAGATGGAGCACAGGACCGGAAGTGTATGCCTTTTTGGTAATAGCTGCTTGTCCACAGAGATGTGATGCAGATGGCTAGGTGATGTCTCGTAATACCTGATATCCTGGGTAACACGTAGTCCACACCAAGTGTTCACAGCTACCAGCATTCTCATGAGGCGGACGCGTATCTGACATCAAGGACAGAGGCAGCCTGAGGAGAAGAGGGAAGGAGAGATCACGGCGCAGGCCAGCAACACCCCCAGACTACTCTGGTGCCCGAAGCTGGGCGGAAGACACAGGCCAGGCTGCGGGCAGGCTGTGTGAGCCCTCAGTCCTTCCCGAGCAAGCGAGCGAGCGAGCGTCAGAAAGCCAGCTGCACAGGGACCCACCTCCTGGGATTAAGTGAAAAACCCCGAGGGCAGCACCGCACCGTGGTGGGGATGTGGCGAGCCTGCAGTCTCAGCTGCAAGGGGCTGTTGCACTTGGCCCTGTCTCCAAGCAGCCTAGTGGCTCCTGCTGGGGAGTGGGGGTTGGCAAGACCACAGGGTCCTCTTCAGAGCCTCGCAGGCGTTTCTTCACTTCCTGCTCCCAAAGGGGATGCGGTACCTCACCGCTCCCTGCAGCTCCATAGGGCCTTACTGCTGGGAAGCAACTGGGCTAGGACTTCAAACTCAGACAGCACTGCTCCTTCAGGTGAAGAGCGATTTACAGGAACTGCTGCTGGTTCAATCAGGAGTCTTTCCTCACTGCTAATACATCCAATCATTGCATAATTTTAACTAAGACCGCCACCACCCACTGTTCCCCTTCTTGGATACAAGGCTGGAAGTAGCATCACCCCTTCTTCCCCATGCTTGGCACCTCAGAGACCTCCAGGTTAGGCTCCCTTCTCTGCTGAAAAGAAGAGAAGTCTGCAAGGGGCAGACAACTCTGTACATTACACTAAGGCTTCTGCGAACTGCGCTGTCCTCTCTGTGTGCTCTGCAGGAGGCATGACGGCAGCTGAGCTGGGACCCCACCCACCACCACACACCAGCGAGACATCACCCAAGTCCAGTCCTGAGCTTGGCCCAGTGACAATTACCCAGCACACATGCTCCCTGTAGGCCCTGGGTGAGCAGACGTGGCTGTGTTACAGACTAATTCCTTCTGCAAACTAGCATGGAGAATGGGAAAGCAAGGGGCAGCAGGGAAGGGCGGGTGCTGTAAGAAGCATGAAAGGAAAAGGGTTAAAGAAATGTCAGTGTGGGTGTGGGGGACACAGCTGAAATGGCCCTAAAAGAAAGGAGGACTAGGGTCTGGGGATTTAGCTCAGTGGCAAAAGCGCCTGCCTGGCAAGCGCAAGGTCGTGAGTTCGGTTCCCAGTACCGGAGAAAAACCAAAAAAAAAAAAAAGAAAAAAGAAGAAAGGAGGACTAAAGACATCTTAGATGACAGCAGCCTCCAGCTGTGTCCAGTGTGGTTCTTTAAGAGGAGACTGGGTAAAGACACACGGGAGACTGTTCAGGCTCACGTCTAGGTACTCCCCAAAGCCTCGTGCACAGTGGGGTTTTTTCAGAGGTGGCTGGATCTAGAGTGCGTGATGCTAGAATTGGTTCCTGGTGCCATGCTAGGCTCAAGGGCACTAGGATTAAGGGTGTGGGTGCTGCCCGTCCTAAGCAGCCTGGGTAAGACGTAAGTGGTAGAAAGAGCTGTGGTCGACCTTGTTGCTTTGCTGCCTTCTGCCCGCCTTGAACTGTTTCTCCTCTGCGATGCCTGTCTACAACCACTGTGCCTTGGAGCCCACCGATGATGGGCTGAAACCTCTACAAACTTTGCGTCTCCCTTTAACTTTGGGTGTTGGATATTTCTGTCTCAGCAACAAGAAAGTACCTAAGACAGAGACTGAGCACCAGTGAGAAGCTAGGGGCTGCTGCTTGCTGAGAGGTCTGGGCAGGACGAGCAGAACCAGCCGCATGCAAAGCATGAGGAAGACACTTTCACTTCCACAAGCCTGAACACTGCTGCTGTGCCCCACACGCACGTCCCATGGGAGGAGAGGAGGCCTGCAGTGGGGTATCCAGGCAAGCAAGCCTGCACAGGAAGTGGGGAGGGGTGTCATCCGGGACACGACTAAGTGTCAGTCCCCGTCCCCGCAGTGCGACAGTCACAGGACCTGAAACTGTCTCAAGGACACCTACGCCAGTCAGCCCCAAACAGCACAACAGGAGCAAAGGGGGCAGCAGGGACAACATGGCACACACTCGACAGACCTGGGTGGGCGTCCCCAGCACCTCCCACTGACTGCCTCCTGCCAGTCTTCATTCAATTTCATGGCTACTGCCCATGGGCAGTACTTTTTGGCTGGAGGAATCCAGAATGAAATGAAGGACTTGCTCGGGAACTGAAGTATAAATAATAAACAGTGACCAGAACAGGCTGGCATCAGCACACGTGTGTCACGGCACCACCAGGAGGAAGTTTCTGGGAGAGCTGAGACCTAACAGCATTCCACCAGCGAAGTCCTGCCTGGAAACAATGGAGTCTCGAGCAGAGGGGCAGGGAGGACACTGCACCGTGCCGGACTCACCTCGTCCTCCTCTTCAGGCATCTTGATGGAACCGTCTGGGGACTTGACTGGCTTCTGGCTACTGGGCCCGTTGGTCTCTTCTTTACCGTGCTCCGCCTCCCATTCTTGTAACACTTCATCTATGTTGAAGCGGCGCCGGTAATTGACAAAGAAGTTCTTGACCTGCACCACTGACTTGTTCCCAATGACATCTGAGATTGCTTGAAAATCTCGGCCGTATTTCCTGATGGCTGAGGAAGAAAAGAGGTTTTTTATTTTAAAAAACTGCATAGAAGAGAAAAACAATCTCATAAACTACAACCAAGGCTTAGTCCCTTCAACCTGCAAAGAAAGCGCACAGGCTGTCAACAGCAGGCACCTCCTCGTCACAACACGGGGAGACACGCAGTCCACGCTGACTCTGGGAGACGGGGGACACAGAAGCCAGCCAGACCCATCACCTGGAAGTCTGTCTTCCAGCTGCAGCACAGCACAGAGCCTGCTGAAGTCCCCAGAGTGCCCCGGGGCACGGACCCCGGGTCTGGAACACCCCCTGCTTTAGCACTCTTAACAATTTGGTTGGAGGGAGTGTATTTTTTGACTATTCAGAGCTCAACAAGCAGCTGCTGAAGTGTAATAGTCACATCCTTATTTTTACTTGTGAGCAATGGGAAAGGAAAATAAAGGCCGCCCAGGAGAACAGAGCTGCGAGGCTAGAGCAACCCAGGGTAACAGGCCCTCCCATCGAGTGCAGCGCCGGGGGACACCTGCATACCTTGCACGGCGAGAAGCTGCTCTTCCGTGGTCCAGCGCGCATTGCACTTCTGAATGACCTAGACAGTCGGACAGGCCGTCAGCATGTTATACTCAAGAGACAAGCAGGCCCTGCGCAAGTTTAGCCATGTTCTTCCCCTACATCGTAACTCTAACACCACCTGGGTTTACGAAACGACATCTGCTCCCTTCTAAGAGAGCACACTGGGAATATGTCCCCGACCCTAAATTCCCCTAAGACTTCCGAGACAGTTAACGAGGTCCTACCTCTGGCAGTCGGTATGGTTCTATCCCACCATCAAGTTTTTCTTTGAGAGCACTGTTCGTCTGTTTAATATTTTGAATCTAAGAAGGAAAAAATTTTCTTTTTATAAACAAAAACTTTTAGAAAAGCATGAAAAGAAAATTTAAAATATTACAGGAAACAACAAAGCCAAGAGCTAAGAAGTTCCCACCCCTACTGTAACCAAAATACAAGGTCCCTGTAGTGTCCTCAGAGTGCATCCAACCAAACGCTTTAATCTGCTTCCTGAGAGACAGTGAGAGAGGGGAGGACACGCGCCGTACCTGCTGCTTCTAACAGGCCACTGCCCACACTGCGGAACACGGCCGGGACCCACCCAGAGGAGAGGCCTGCACTGCCTGGACATGAGCAGGAGGAATAGCAGCCAGTCAAGGTGGCAGAGCACAGGCTGCACGAGAGCCGCGTGCCAGCTGCCTGGCTCCACACACACTGCTGGGAGCACAGACGTCTTCAATGTGGCAGAAGGACGCCGCGTATCAGAGAGTGTTCCATAAGCTTTGCTTGGACCCATGGTATCAGCTTCTTTTTCTCACAAACTCCCTTTCTCTACTCAGACATAAACACTCTGCAGCAAGTGAGCAAGCCCGTCGCCACTCCCTCCTCAGAGCCCCAGACGAGCATTTCTGTGCTGCCCCTGGGGGCTCCGCTCCAAGCACCGCTTGCCTCAGTAAAAGCACAAGCAAAGAGGAAAGCAATGGAAGGCAGAGGCTGATTTTCCAAGTAAAACACAAGAGCCATTCACGAGTAGAAGATGCTCCCTCCCCAAAGACTGACTCCTGCTAGCGAAGGAAATGGAGACGGTGGGGCCTTGGAGGGAGGGAGATGGGGAGGTGCACGAAGTTACCCTGCGCAAGGTGAAGCTCTATGTCCCGAAATCTGCTGTAATACACTGTTGTGAAAAGGTGCAAGTCAGAGGAAGGTAAACTGACAGCGCAAATGTATTCACCCCTAGCAAGGCCTCAACACAGCAATGCAAGCTCTTCAACCAGTGCTGTCCAGGATGGTGGCAGCAAGGATCCCAGGGGCAGGGCGGGCTGAAGCCCCTCTGCTCACCAATGCCTACCAGATGGCACCAGGAACCCAAGGGATGCTCACCACCTCCCTTTCAGCTGAGGAGCTGGCTGATACACTTCCTTGGGAAGTAAAGCAACCCTGGAATATTGCATGTCCCCATGTGCTACCCTCTGCACTTTTTTTTGAGACAGGGTCTCACTATGCCTTGAACTTACTATGGAGCTAGGTAGCCCAGGCTGGCTTTGAACTTACAGCTATCTTCCTGCCTTAGCCTATCTCATGCTGGGATTACAGGCATGTGCCACCACACCCAGCCACTCTACACTTAAGCTGGCCCTGCACAGACAACACAAACTGGGTGAACATTGTGCCATGTGATTAAATAACATGCACTTCCCAGGGAGACCAATGTATCCATCGCAGCATTTCCCGTTCTAAAGTGACAGGTAAAGCATGTAGGCCAAATGCACAACACCCACCAATTCTGCACCAGACATGTGCTCTAAGCTCTCAGGAATTACACCTCTGACCCCATGCACTTTCCACAGTAGAAGCACCCAAGGGTTATAGTCAGAACAAGAGCAGGGGTCGCTGCCACCACCATTAAAAAGCTGAATGACAAGAGGATGGGTAAGAATCAGGACACAAACTAATCAGCACTTTAAAAAAGAGCACAATTAAGAACAGAGAAATGCACATGGCCAATCCTCACAGCCTGGTCCCTTCCTGACCTGCCAGCTGAACACAGCTTGCGTCTTCTACCATCCTCTCTGCTGTCACACCATTTCCCTCTGCAGCAGACACCGAATGCCACGGTGCTCTCTCTGCCAGCCAAGCAGCCAGGCTGGCCCTCCTCCCTGTGTCTGACACTGGCGCTGTGAGGGAGCACCGCTAAGGGCTTTGCTCGTCCTGGCACTGGGGACAGGAACAGAGACAGGCCTCCGCCTCCTCCTTCCACCCTGAGTACAGTGTGAGGCCTGTGCAGTCTCCCACATCAGGCAACAGGGAGCTCGCCACGGCAGGGGTGAGAGTCTGCAAAAACCTGCTCCTTGACAGCGGCACGAGCAGCAAGCGGTGCCGCAGGACTTGGCTGCTGCCAAAGAAGCTCTCTTCAGTGGTCTGGGCTGTCACTTTTCTGCTGCCCTCAGGCAAGTGCCCCTGCCAGGCCAGCGGTTCTTTTTTCCTTTGGTCTTTTTGAGACAGGGTCTCACTATGTAGTTCAGGCTGGCCTTGAGCTCACTTTGTAGCCCAGGCTGGTCTCAAACTCCCAACAATCCTCCTGCCTCGGCTTCCCAAGTGCTGGGATTACAGGCGTGTGCCACCACGCTCAGCCTTATTTTTATGTTTTAAAGAGAATAAAAAACAATAAAACATTATGAACAATACAGAATTTCACTAAACAAGATCACAGGAATTCAATGGTTGTTATAGTGCATACTGCTGTCTTTAAATTAGTTGTTCAAATTACCAAATATAAGCATGCAAAACTGGTAAAAAAAAAAAAAATTTAAAAAGAAGAAAAAAAATAAGAATTACAGTCCAGCAGTCCTGTCCAGCGGCTGTCATCCCTGCTGGACGCATCTGGCGGCGTGTGCCCTGCTCTCCTCCCTCGGAAGCCAGGCTCTAAGCCCTCTTCAAAGTCATCCGTCCTTCACAGCTGCCTTCCAGTGCTGAACATTCCTGCTCTCGACCTTGCGCTCAAAACCCAAGCACCTGCCCCTCCACCAGGTCAGCAGCGCCTGTGGAGAGGGCGCCTCTTCTCTCCTCCACACGCGAACTCCCCCATCTGCCCCGGGCTCCCTCGGCAGAGGGCAACCAGGAGGAGGGAAGCTCGGCCCTCGCTGGGGAGCTCTGCCTCCAGGAACGGGCTGCACACACTCCGCCACAAGATCACTCCACATTGGAGAAGAGGCCCAGGGAGATGACGTGGATCTCACTGTGGCACTGCTGTGCACTGGGCCACTGCGATGCCACAGTTGCTGGCTACGTGGCCACGCAGAGCCCTTGAAACACAGCCCGTTTACACTGTGTTACACTGTGTAGCAACTGTAGTCATCCCTGAGGATTTTACCCCATCTCACACTGAGTCTTTGGATCCAGTCATGAGCCAGTGTCTTTCCAGCTGTGGCAAAGCCCACCAGCTGGCACCTAGTCAGGAAAGACCCCTTGGGTTCAGGGAAGGAGAGTGCACCGTGCCAGCTGCCGAGACGGGGACATGTGAGGCCCGGTCTGGGTCACCTCCCTGCAGCAGAAGGAAGATGTGCCACGGGCCGCCCTTCTCACCTTGAAAACAGCTGGCTTCTCACTTCGCCTTGCAAAGGAACCATCAAGATTAACAAATCAACAGCAGCACAACTCAAAACAAAATGCAGGCCACAAGTAGTGGATGGTTTTCTGGAACTTAGTTCCAGAGGGAGGGAGGGAAGAAGAGACACAAAGTAATACAAAGTAATACACTGCAGTGAATGCCAGACTGCTGGGCTGAACTTCCCATATAGAGGTACCATACAGTGCTGAGCCCTTTCCACACAGCAAGTACAGAAAACTACAGAAGAGACAAGGGCACCAGAAACAGTACCAAATACCCAGGGATAACACTATCAAAGGATATCTAGGCCTTGTGCAAAGAAAATAACAAAACACAGAGAATAAAGACCTGACTGATGAGCGTGAATGGAAATCATGTCTGCTCACTCAGAAACACAGGTGCTAACTTGACAGCTTCAACCCCATCCAACCAACACTCTCGCAGAGCAATTGTTCAGGAAATTGAGAAAGTGGTTCCAACTCAGACATGAAAAACAAAGCATCAGGGATGTCCACAACCTGGGAGACTTACAATGCCAGGTACACGCTGACAAGGTGTATAAAATTAGGACAACATGTGTTGGGCAAGGATGAGCAAACAGACCAGAGGAACAGAACTCCAGGCCCCTGTGCAGACACTGGATTTCAAGGCAGGCGCTTGTGCCACTGAGCTATATCTCCAGCTCCAGACACTGGATTTCGGACCCTGAGCCTGCTGCACTGTAGTGGGGAAAGACAGTCTTTTCAGTAAGAAGTGCAATAAGTAGTCAAACACATGCCCAATTTTTTAAAAACCCTTAAGATTATCCCTAAACATGACAACAGGACAGGGAACAGTCTTTCAAGACAAAAAGGTAGAAGAAAACAACTCAGAACCTGATAACTACAAATCAGTGAGGAAAAAATGTACACATAAAAGAAACAATGCCATACGGTTGCTCTTGATAGAAAATCCAAAAACAGACAAAAAAGCTGTGCTTTAAAGTCCAAGCAGTGGCTGACTCCTGGGAGTAGTCGAGTCCCGGATGAGAATGAGTGGGCTTTGGAGGTTGGCTCTGCACGGCAAGTGGGGAGCAGCGACCAGGAGAGGACACAGAGGGGCTGTGGAGGCCGTGGCCACTTCCTGCTCCAGAGCAAGCGCACCTGTGCGTGTGGGCATGAGCAGCGCGTGCATGTGTGTGGGGCGTGTGGATGTGAGTGCACTCACACACGCACGCACACAGATGGATACACGATAGAGAAATACACTGTCTGTGTGCTCTTCCCTCTCTACAATACTCCAGTTTAAAAGTAAACTAAAACAACCACCAGGCTGTCCCACTCCTTCCTGGGATGTGCGGTGTGAACAGGGCACGCCTTGGGCAGTACCTGTCGCTTGATGGAGACCAGCTCCATGTCCAGCTGTCGCAGCACCGTGGTAGCAGCAGTGGCGTTGGCAGAAACAGCCTCCACGTCCTCTTGAGAAAGGAACATTCCTTTCGGAGGTTTCCGCTTTGCTCTGTTTTTAGCTTGTGTGCTGTGTTTCTCTTTTTTCACCTGAGGAACTGCCTCAGCAGGGGGCACCTGTATGATACACACTTTTGGTAAATAAAACTGGAAATTAAGATGTCAAATGAAGTAATACACATATATCCTTAAAAGGCCACAAACAATATTCAACTAATACTGTGCTGTATTCTCATCACCTTCTACACACTCTGAAAGGAACTTGGTTAACAGACGAGGCCTGGGATTTGGGCTGACCCCTTTAAAGGGTACCGTGTCTCCTTCTTGAACAGAGACATCTTTAGTCTCTTTTCCTTTTCTTTTTCTCCTTTTGATACTGGGAATCAAACTCATGACCTCGTGCTGGCCAGGAAGGCGATGCCACTGAGCTATATTCCCCGCCCTTTAGTCTTTCTTGAAGCTTCTGCCAGTAAGTGTTATTAGCTTCCTGGAGTAACACAGGAAGATCAGAAAATCATTATTCCCTTTGGAACCTTACGGCCACACAGATGCTTATTTATATGACACAGATATAAATGAAGAGCAGCTATTTTTATACGAACAGTAGTCTCTAGCAATATACACCCCAGACGACCACAGAAAGAAAAAAATGATTCAGCGCATATAATGGACTGTAATTCTTCAAACCTTTCCATTGAGAAATACAATCTTCAGGGCTTGGGGTGTAGCTCAGTGTCAGAGCACTTACCTAGCAAATGTAAGCCCCTATGTCCCATCCCCAGCACAAAGGAAGGATAGAAAAAGTAAGGAGAGAAGAGGAAAACAAAGGAGAAAAGAAGAGCAGAAACAAAAACTTCAATATGAAGTTATGACTTTACAAATCACTTCCTTTTGGAAACATCTAACTTTTGGGGAAGCTTTAGGAGTGTAGTGCAGTGACAGAGTGCTTGCCTAGCCCCCACTTGTGAGCCCTGGGTATCATGCTCAGTACTGCTATTTTAAAAGGAAAACTTCCAGGACAATTCATTACTTGCTCAAAAAAAAAGTAGTATCATTTAAAAATCCATGACAGCTGCTAATTTTTTAAAGCGCTGTCTCTAAAACTATAACTTTCAGAAATAAAATACAGTTAAACCTTGGCAAGGAAAAGATTAGGTCTTACTGGTAACCACTTTAAAAAGTTTTTATAGTTCATAATCTAAAGTTAAGAAAGTATGTTCAGTTTTTGCTTCATATTTTGAAAGACTGAGGTAAAAAGAACACAAATTATAGTGGCAATGATAACTTTTTAAACAAGTGGTAATAAACAACATAGGCAATAAACTATACTCTGCACAGCACTATGTTGTTTAACAAAGACTACCTTTAACCTTGTGTCTGTATAATAACATTTTATACTTAAACTAAGATTTAACCAATTTTCTTTTTGAATTAGAAATTACACTATATAAATAAAATTATAGTAAGTGACATAAAATCATTTTCTTATGCACTGGAAAGGAGTCCACTGAAGAACCTAATAAATCCCAACACATCCAAACAAAGCTCCCTGGAAACCCCAGCTCAGTCTCCTCTCCCGAACGCTAACTCAGTGAATGGCGAGGGTCTTGCTCCTCGAGCACTCCCGTGCACCACCGGCAAGGACAACATCCACACAGAAGGGCTGATTTCTAATTCGATGATAAACACTAACAGAGACCTGAGAAACGCATACGAAACACCCCGACACAACCACTCAACTTCCAGAAATTAACCCTAATCGGATAAAGTGCACAAATACTTAGTTATGTGACCATCAATTCAGCACTATTTATACCAGCAAAGAGCAAGGAGAATAATCAAGCTACAAATTCACATGTGATCAGTTAAGTCAATTTGTAAGACTCATATGATGAATATATAGCTATGTGTATATGTATATCTGACAAAAATATAGTCAAGATGAACTTTAAAGTTTATAAAAATTAAATATTATAAGAACCCCTTTTATTTATTGTCTTAAAAAAGTGAACAGATTCATACTTATGTAAGCATATGGACAGACACTTTTTGCAGAAAAAGTATCTGGAAAGCTACCAAAATGTTAACAATGATTACAGGGGATAACAGCACAGATAACTTTAACCTCCTTTGTGTTTAGCTGTATTCCTACTTGGCCTGTAGGAAGCATCCATTAGGGTGTTAATTTTAAACTCTGGCGATGCCTAGGCCCTTTGTTTTTCTAAGTTTAAATAACTCACGCTGTGGAGAATAGAGACCACAGGCTTGGTCTTCAGAAAGAGAAACACCTGCACGAACACACGAAAAAGTCATACAATTGTAGGGGCTCTTGGGCCCCGGGAGTCCAGAGGTGAAATCTCTGGTCCCAAAGTGTCAGGGCACCAGTGACCCCCAGGGCTGCGAGAAGGATCCTCGCTAACACAGGTCGCCCCTGCCTACTCCAAGAGGGCAGCGAGGGCCGCATGAGACTAGTGTCCGCTTGGCAGAGCCACTTCTCCATCAAGTTCTATAGAGTAAGGCTGGCAGTGCTTGCTAAATCCTAACATGATGTTTTCCATAAGACAACACTTAGTGAGTACAGCATGTAAGAGCACTGTTTTATTTGTGGAACTAGCAATAAAATGTATTTGCCTGAACGGTTCTAGGGGAAGATACCTCCTTTTTGCTTTCCTTGTTTTGATCAACCTCCATGTCAATGGGATTACTTCCGTTTGTCTCTTCCAGCTCATCCTCACTGGAAGACAAGAACAGGGAACTGAAAGGTTATTTCATACTAATTCTATTCCAGATAAAATACAAGGCACACACCTATTTAATGGTAAACTTTATATAAAACTACTATGTTTCCAGACTCCAGAGATAACAATGTTTTTGTAACTCAGAGAGCACATCACCAATTTTAGAAGCTCTGCAGGAACAACGGTCTCTGCAGCAGGAACAAACGTGCCAACCAGTTGAATACCATCCTTAAGCTCCCCCTTCTACTACTCATAGCCACAAACACCCTCAGGCTTTTTGGGTGTCTGCACAACTGATGTTTTATAACTTAGAAAAACCACTTTTGCCCACAATAGGACCCGACTTTTCAAGAGTCAAGCAGCCTCCCAGTTTGCCCAGCTGCAGCGGCCGCCGAGCACTCAGGATGTGACCCTGGCGTGCGTAAGACCCAGTCACCACTACGTAGGGAGAAGTCCCAGCTGTAGGTGCCTGGGGCAGAGCCTGGGCAGAAGCCTTGTCCCTGCCACTACTTTTACAAGCAAGCTCTGCTACTGCTGTGGCCGCACGCCCACGGGGGCCTGGCCTCCTCCCAGTACAGGAAGGGGCACGGAGGCACAGAATATTGCGGGGAGAGGCGTCTGTGCCCTGAGAAGACAGCACGTCTGCCACCCTGTCAAGGCTGACCAGTATCACCAGAGGTCATTCTGATTTTGTTGCTTAGTTGACTGTACCAGTTCGTAGCAAGACTCAATTTGTGAATTATAAACTAGGCCTGCATATAAGGAAATGAAAAATTTAATCAAAATTTAGTAAGCGTACTGAGCTCTGAAGAGAGCACTAGCTTGTGTGCCAAAGAACATGCACATTTGTCATGATCAGTAGTTTCACTAAATCTTTTTTAGATATTGAGGTCTTGGTATTTTGCTCAGGCTGGTTTGAAGCAATCCTCCTGCCTCAGCCTCTCAAGTACCTAGGATTCACCACCAGCTAGAACCTCATAGTTGCAAAGAACCTTGGAGATTTCCTTAACACTCTGCTGTGTAAGAAACCAAATATACACATGTCAAATGAATCTTGGGTTACCACACCAAATACATTTCAACCTAAAAATAAGGTCTCTCATTAAAATGGGCCACCTTTATGGGACAGAAGTTCCTGACTGCAGAGAGCGGCAAGAGCAGAGTGCAGCATGTGCTCACTCAGGGGTGTGGCTTGTAGACTATGGCCCCTGCTGCCCCTGTACCTGTAGCCCAGGCCCAAAAGAGTGCCAGGCGCCCTGGGCTCACTCACCTCTCCTCCCGCTCCCGCTTCTGCTTGCGAGCATGGCGATCCATCACGCTGGTTTTAGTTCTTGTCTTCTTCCAAGAGTAGTAAAATTTCACCAGACTTGCTATAGATTTATCAGGAAGCTAAATATAAAACATGAGTTCATTCAGGGTTAAAGCTGATCTTTAGACATCAAGTGTGTTTAGGTGTATTCAATAAGGATCATCCGCATATTTAGAAATGTTCTAACTTACAGCCTTTTTCTCTGATAAAACAAAATACATCTTTCAATTCAATGTGTTTTCAAATTTCTGAAGTTTACTAAGTGAAACTGGGCCAATGAAAGCTTGTGAAGTCAGACTAAGATGAATTTGTTTTTCATGTAAGTAAACGCTCTTAACAGTACTTTGGATTTTGTTCTTTAAAATTCATTTCAACACTCAAGGCAAACATCAGAGGGCTTTTAACGCAAGAATCTACCACACAGCTTTCCAGAATGAACGGCTAAGGAGACTTGCCCCACAGACAGACAGGACCCACGCGCCACCTCAGGTTCCTCCTGGGCTCTCGTTGCCCATGGACGGATCCCAACAAGCAGCTGTGGTGGAGGCCAGGAGAGGGTGCAGCACAGCTCCAGGCTGGGAAGGGCCTCACCAGGACACTGCGTCTTCTGAAGGAAGCATTCCTAAAGCAGGAGTCTCCATGGTCAAGGACAATAGCCATCTCTCACGCATACAAACAACACAGACGCTAGGGGGGACAAAAGCTGATGGTCTCTTACCATTTGTTGGATTCTATGAAATGTTTTCCCATGAAAACTAAAGGCTTGCTCAAATAAGACTTTATCTTCCACCGTCCACTCATCTGGGAAGGGGGTGAAGTTGGGCAGATCAGCCAGTGACTTTTCAATGTTATGCTTATGCCAAAAGAGCATCCCAAGGGCCTAGGAAAGCGACAGGAATGAGACTTTAGACCAAACACCTGAATCTGAAACAGAGCTAAAGTGGTACTGGCAAAAGAAAAGCATGTATGATTTCACATGCAGACAAGTAATAATCGCTTGATTCACATAAACTGATTAAGTGGAAAACACTGCCCTATGCCCTTCCCCCCCAGTATTTTTACTGTGGTAAAATGCATGAAGTTTAGCATCTCAACTGTTGTGAAGTACTGTCCACTTGTCTTGAGCACATGCATACTGTGTTGGAACTGTCTCCGCCTTGGAAAACTGAACCTCTGCACCCACTGAACAGTAGCTACCACCCTGGCCCCCGGGCCTGTCCCTCTATCCCCAGAAACCAGCCTTCGACTTCCGGTCTCTGGTCAGACTGCTCTACATCCCTCAGCTAAGCAGAACCACCCAACATTTGTCCCTGTGACTGGCTTATCTCATCTACTATGAAGTCTGCAAGGTTCACACATGCTGAGCCAAGGAACTTCCTTCCTTTTAAGCTGAACAATAATCCAATATATGTATGTACCGCAGTTTATTTATTCATCCTTTGGACACCTGAGCTCCTACTTTCAGTTCTTTGGGCCTAGAGCCAGGAGAGGATTTTCTAAATCACATGGTTCTACCATCAAAGAGTGCTCTGCAAAGGTGCGGCTGCACTCTTTCCGCCAGCAGCCAATGATCTCGCCTCTTGTAACCTGTTGATCTAAGGGCGATCCTGGCTGACATTAGCACAGCCATTCCTCTCCCTATTACTGTTTGATGAGAGACTTTCTCCAGCCTCCCACTTTCAACATGTCTTTGGATCTAAGGAGTGTCTTGGTCACAGGATGCATTGGGATCCTGTGTTTTTCCTCACTCTGTTTTGACTGGAGAGTATAATCTATCTACATTTAATATACATACTTGCTGATACTGAAGAAACTACTTGTTCATTTTATCTACTTATTTCCTCTAAGCTTTTTTTTTTTTTTTTTTCGGTATCAGGAATCGAACTCAGGACCTCGCGTTTGCCAGGCAGGCGCTGTGCTGCTGAGCTAAATCCCCAGCCCCTTCCTCTAAGCCTTACAGCTTCTTTTGTCCCTCATTTCCTGAGTCACTATCTTCTTTTATGCTTAGTTGGCTGTTGCTCACTGGGGATGTTCACAGTCCCTCCTCACCTCCTTTTTTATGTCTATTCTACAGCTACTTTCCTTTGGTTGCCACAGGGATTGTATGTCCATCTTGAAGCTGTAACACTCCATTTTGAGTTTATCCTGGCGAAGTTTCAATGCTGTATAAAAACTCAGCTCCTTGAACATCTCTGCCCCACCTCACAGTTGGTGATGTCACGAAATTACACCTGCATCTACTGTACGCTAAAACCTGAGCTAATGAGTCTTCTGAGCGGACCAGCCTCACCAGTTATGTGGAAACAATGTGGAGTGAGCAACACGAGTGCTGTAACAGTTGTGAGAGTCTGAAGGATGTCTCAGCCTCCTCAGTCATGTAAAGAACCTGAAGTGCGACCACAAACCACTGGCAGGGCAACAACAGCTCTCCCGGCGGCCACAGACCCGCCCCAGTTCACGTCTCCTCCATCTCTCCAAGGGTGCTGGGTCACCGTGGTGCCCTTCGCCCCGCACTTCCCGGGACTCCACAGCACATGTCCAGTGGGACCAATTCCATCTGTGCCTGTTATCTGGGAGTGTCTCAATTTCTTTGCTTTTGAAGGATCGGCCAACCAGATAGTGCATTCTCTGTTGACAGTTTTCTCCTCTCAGCATGTTCAGCATATTGAACCCTGGTCTTCAGGACTCCAGAGCTCCTGGTGAATGATCTGGTAGAACATTACTGAGGAGCTTTGCTAGTGACAAGCCTGGGTGTGGACATGCGTCTGTCTTACCTCACGTTTGCTGCGCTGAGTCGCTCTGATATTTGCATTCATGAGTTCCATCAACTTTGGGGAGCTGTACTAATTTCTTCAAAAGCTTCTGCCTCTTTCTGGAACTCCCCCAATACTTACCACATTCTCCTGCAGTACTTATGTCCCACCGGGTTGATGGGTTCTGGTCATGAAAATTTTTTCTTTTTCTCCTCAAACTCAATAATGTATGTATGTATGTATGTATGTATGTATTTAGGCTTTTTTCTGGTACCGGGAATCGAACTCACAACCTTGCACTTGCGAGGCAGGCGCTGTGCTGCTCAGCTAAATCCCCAGCCCCCAAACTCAATAATTTAAACTGTTCTGTCTCCAGTTCCCTGATTATTTCCGCCTGCTCAAAGCTGCCTCTGAATCCCTCTAGTGAATTTGTCATCTGAGTTATCATTTTTAGTTGCAGAAGTTCTTTTCTCACTTCTTTAGGTTTTTTCTTTTTCAGTACTTCACTTTTGTCCATCCATCATTTTCTTGCAGTTCTTCCTATCCTGCTTTAGTTCTCTGAACTTCACTTTTACAGTGACACCAGCCACCAAGTGTTTTCTTTCAAGGCCCATCCTTTCCGTGTGATGATCCTTGTTCTTCCCCAGGATGGTACCTTTGTCACAGTTTCTGCTTCTTGGTGAGCTGCAATCTGTCCGCGTGGAGGGATCAGCCTGAGGGCTAAGTGTGAGGTCTCTGTAGGTCTCTTCTTAGCCTGCTTCTTTCCCTGGCTACGTACACTGCCTTACTTCTGTTAGGGGTCCCAGGGGAGCCCACTTCCCGCTGTGCAGCCACACAGACACATCCTAACCTCTCCCATCTGCCCTGCCAGAGGGGCTATGAGAAACTGGAGGCAGGTGCAGAGGCAAGGGCAGGGCTCCTAGGCTCCTGGAGGGTCCTGACAGCAGGAGGCAGGCCACTCCCAACAACAGGGAGGCACTGCACCTCTGTGACACAGAGCAGCAGTCAGCCCTTAGAGCACAGGTCCCCACATGCTAGGGACAGAGTGCTCTTCTGGTTACCCTGCCTCCTGCAATGCATGCAATGCGTGTACTCCTGGAATACATGCACAGCTGCCTGCCACAGGGGTGCTAAGGGGACAGCCAGGTGCTACCTCTTGTGAGTTGCAAATGAAGTCACAGTCTGCGGCAGACCCCAGGTTCCCAAGATGCACACATCAGACATGGGCCATAGCACAGCTCATATCCAGGTGTGCAGATAGACTCCTGGCTTCCTCCTGCTGCTGTCCTGGTATCCTCCCTGTCATGTGCCCTCTGTACACTAACTCACTTAGCTCACAACCCCTGTGGCTTCACATTACTTCCAGTTCTCGAGTTAGAATATGGAGGCCCAGAAACACTGAATAACCTGCTGACCAACAGTCCCAGAGCAGGTAGGGCAGAAGCAGGACAGATGAAGCACCACACTGTCTCACCTCTGTGCAGGAAAGGAGCAAGGAGTTACAGAAGCAACTGCGCTGTTCTTCTTCACAAGAAACCTCTAATACGCACAGTGGTTTGTTATTCCCTCAGCTCAGGGGAAAAAATTGGTGAGGAACAAATTAGAACCAAGAGATAGTCCAGCAATACTATCCTGTGAAAACTTCCTATATCACAGTTCTAAACTGATGGAGATCACTACAAAGCAGCCCTGAGCAGGACCTAAATTAACCAATGGGTTTTTCATGTTTACTTGTGAATCTGTGTAAGGCGTAGGCTCCTTGTCTGGAGATGGGCGGTGGACTTACAGTAAGTAAACCTCTGTGAGTCACTAAGCCCTACTAAAACCTGTAGTGGTGGATGAAGCAGGAAAGCCTCAAAGGATAAGACATGATCACAACCAAGGACACCTGGATGCATCTCAACTAGCTAAAGACTGTAGCCTCAGGCATCTCACTCCTGGGTGGCTTAACTTAATACCTTACTTGGAGAAGACCTTGAGTGATTCCGCCTTTCTTGAGTATTCCTTTCTCTTCTTCTGATAATTCCGATAACTAAATAAATATAGGCCACCCAGAGGTCTTGGTCTTAGCCCTGACTCAAATTCTGCGAGAGGGCTCTGATCCTTTGCCTCTTTTATTTAGCCTTTGCTATACACTCGTTCTGGAGATGGCGGATCTGATCAGCCTGCAATAACTAAGGGAAATTATTAACCTGATACTAAACTAAAAATGATCATCTCAAAATGGATGGTCAAGACCGGCATCCTTAAGAATTCTCACAGGTACAGCTGGGCATAGTGACACATACTTGTAATCACAGCTATTTGGGAGGCTGAGACAGGAGGATCACAAGTCTGAGGTCAGGCTGGGTAACTCAGTGAGACCCTGTTTCAAAAGTAAAAATGAATACGGCTGGGGATACAGCTCAGTGGTCAACCACCTGCCCAACTTATGTGAGGCCCTGGGTTCCCCAGCACAAAAACAAAACAAAAACAAAAAATCCAAACCACCATACAGGTATTCTTCAGAAAATTTCCAATAACACTTACAAACATTTTAAAGTTAAAAACAAAAAACTTAATGCTTTTTCTGAACTGGTGTGTGAAGCTTATGGACAGGGTTTGCAAAATGAGAAACCTATTTTTTTTTGCTTTGAATGATTCTTGAACTACATGAATTGAGATGGCTTTTCTAAAAGCACCTCAGTGCCCAGGATAAAGTAATTCAAAGCCAGGCCAAGCTAACTGAAGGAGTCCACCTGTGTAAACTGATCGCTCGGTAAATGGGAAATGTGAGTGACCAACAGCTGTAACAGATCAATGCCAGGAAAGGCACTAACCTACTTAATATGCTTGAAGCAGTAATTAGAGCCTGAGCATGGAATACAATTACCAACATACTTTGGAAGAAAATCAGTCTTGCAGTTTTCACAGCAACGCTCCAAATAACACTTTGAGAAAAACCTTAGTCAGACATTTACACCCAGTGATTCAAAGCGAGGAAAACTGCACCAGGAGATGAACTGCGATGCTACTGAGAAGACTCCACTCTGACCAGCCCGCATCACGGCCCGGAGGGTGAGCACAGCCACCTTCCCAACCAAAGGCGCTGCACCCACTCACCTCGGGCAGCAGAGAGGACCAGAGCCGCGACGCTGCACAGCGAGCCCACCCTGAACACACCAGGAAGGAAGCAAGCCTTTACCTGCTCCATGTTGTACCCGTGCTTCTCCTTGGCGATGGCGATGTACTCGTCCACTGGAAGACAGAGGAGAGACCGTGAGCACTCCGGGAGGGTGAGTGGAGCCCACAGGGCAGACCCTGCCAGACCTGCACCGCAGGCGGAGGACAGCACGTACAGTGACCCACATAGTGCGGCTGGCGAGGCCCCCGCAAATGCCCCCCCAGACGTGAGCAGACCGATGAGGGCTTACGCTCGCTCTGTAACTGCCCTTTAACAGACAAAACAAACAAAAATCCTTGGCGCTACTTAAATTCTCTAAAGCAAGTATTACCTTGGTACCTGTACTTTAAAAAGAAATATGAAACTGGGGTTGATTTTTAGTTTCAGTTGAGGTTAAGGTACAAGCAAACTATTTTTTATGGGGTTTTGTTTGGTTTTCAGTGCTGGGGATGGAAGCCCGGCTGCTCCCTCCCCCCCCCCGCCCGCCCCACATACAGCATGGGCTCTGACAACTGAGCCAGCTGGGTGATAAAATACAAAAAGAAACCCCTGCTGGGTGTGGTGGCACACACCTATAATTCCAGCACTCACGAGGCTGAGGTAGGAGGACCGCCGTGAGTTTGAGGCCAGCCTGCGTTACAAAATCGAGTTTGAAGATACCCTGCGCTACATAGTGAGACCCTGCCTTAAAAAAAAAAATCCCTGGTGCGGCCTCACGCCAGATGTTTGCCTCTTATACTCCAACGGAAGGGGGCATCTGCTAACTTCCAAGTACTGAGGAGACACCCAGGAAAATGGGCTGGCTGCACCCCAGGAGAAGCTCCCGCCCTGCAGAGGACAGAAGCCCCTGGCGGACATTCCAATCTCCCACAGCACTGCTTATGCTCATGTGTGGCTTCCCTTCATGAATTAGAAAACAACGCAGACGGACACAAAAATAAAGTAATACAAAACTCTCTGAAATAAGTAAAATAAATAAAGTGAAATTCTTCTTGCCCCAAAACTCACTCTGCAGGTGCAGTGACAACAACCAAGACAAAGAGGCTCCGAGGGATCCCTGCCCACAGCCACGCAGAGGTGGACAGAGACCTCCTGGTCCAGGCTGCGTCCCCAGCAGCCTGCTGACCCAGTCATACCCAGCCCTATTCCTCCTGGGTACCACTGACCATCTGTGTAGCAAAAAGAAGTCAGTTCTGTCAAAGAATTCAAACTCTGCTTCACAGCATCATTCTAACCCTTGGGGATAAAAAACCCTTAATTCCAACAGCAATTCCTACAGTGTAACTCAATGTTTATTTCAATTCTAAGATACCACTTTACTATTTTTTATATTTAAAACACACACAAACTTGCTGGTTCCTTCAGCAAAAGTCCAATTAACCTAAATATCAGCAAATAACAAACTGAATGACCCTAGTATGAACACAAAAGCTGAAAGTGATCTGAAGGGGGTGGAGGAGTCTTCTGGAGCTCCTCTTGCTTTTTCCCTGCAGCAGGGTACATTCTGTGCCTCTCGCACGACATGGCTGAAGCAGTGCCATGGTCACAGCCCCTCCCGGTCCTGGTGGCTGCCACCCGCTCACATCCCTTCTGCTTGCATCAGCCATGGGGCCCACGAAGCCTGGCTCAGCCTCCCTGACCAGAGGCAGCTAAAAATGACAAGGGAAGCATGAGCCCCTCAGCCGTGGCTCCATGGGTACCAGCAGCCAGGGCGGGGCAGGGAGCATGGCGAGTTCTAAGACGGCGCTGGGTGGGACAGGACGCTGCCCATAGTGTGAGCCACGCTGCTTCTCCCTGAGGAGCGGCGCTCACAGGCCCACTGCTGGCCCGAGGCGGGTCTATAGCACCCTAAAGGCTGTGAGGAAGCAAGCAACGTGGGACCCCTGGGACCTGTGAAGCACACCGCTCAGGCTGCCAGTGGACACAGCGCTTCTCCACTTCGGCACGCCTGGTGCCAATGCAGTTTCAGGGACAAGCATGTGCCAGTGGGTGCTAGGGCTGTGACGTGCACAGCGTCACCATCCCAGGCTTTCTGTCCAGCAAGTCAAGGCAGCACAGGTGAGGTGTGAGGAAGAGAGGCCCAGACCCAAGCTGGCGCTGTCTCCTCAGAGTCTGCCCTGCAGTGCCTGGCCTGCCTTTAACAACTTCCTCCACTGTGCTGGTGCTGAATAAAAACCACAGGAGGCTGCTGTTCTGGACTGAACTCCCGCACTGGCCCCTGGGGACCAAACTAAAAATCAAGATGGAGCTGTTCTCGCTAACTTTGTCACCCAGCTACAAGCGCCACTTATCTGACCTTCTGACTCCTGAGGATCAGAGAGAAACTTCCCAAACCGCAGATTTCCACGTGACATGCTAACGAACTCCCCGGGAGGTCATCTGTGCAAAAGTGACCCGAAATGACCTGTGGTCAACAAATCAGTCCGTTCCCGTTCCGGCTCCTCCTAGTCCTTCTTCACTCAAGCGCTCCCTGTGGACCAACGCCAGCCTCTCTGCTCAGCTGCTCCCCCCGACTTTGAGGCATGACATACGCGCCAGCTCTAGAATCAGCTCTTTCAATCGTTAGAGACACGAGCTTTCACCAGGAGAACCAGGCCATTTCCTAACCGGGAAGCTAGCCGTGCCTCCTCCCCCGCACCCCACCTCTGCAGCACCCCAGTGCCGCTTCTGCTGACCACAGGACCCTGGACCTCTCCCTCCACTTGGCTCCTCTGCAACATGGCAGCTGCTGCTGGTAGAATGGGGATTAAAATGCACACGGTGCATCTGTTGCAGTCTCCCACAGGACTTCCTTATGTAAAGTGAAGGGGAGCTTTACAGCTGAAAAAATAAAACCCGCTCCAGTACCCTCGTGAAAAGCAAAGATACCTGGTGCCGAAGGCGGATGGAAAGAGTGACGATGGAGCCCTGGAGCAGTGCAGGCTGCATGAGCAAAGGGCACAGGGCCTCCCCACTGTGCCACCTCCGGCAGGGCAGCAGTACCCCAGGCTGCCCCCCAGAGTCACCCCAATCTGGGCAAGAGGTACCCTCTGGGCAGCTGGAGACCACATAGCTCGTTCCCCAGGGCTGTCCCCAGCCACAGGGTTGAGTGCCCAGCACACAGGGGGCAGGCAGGGAAGCAGTCGGCAGGCCACCTGCACTCCGTTCTTCAAGCAGCTGCACTGCCCCGTAACTCGATCCTGCACAAGGCAACAATTCTTACAGAGTGACTGTCAAGAGTCATCTAACCTCACTGCTGATGGATACAGACATGTGCAGCTGCAGCTGTACTAGAACACGGACTGTGAGAACATGGGACTCTGGTTTCAGCTGGTGTTTTTCAGACAGGGTCTCACCATGTTACACAGGCTGGCTCCAAACTCCTGTGCTCCAGTGACTCTCCTGCCTCAGCCTCCCACAATAGGACTTTGGCTCGTGGCAGTGTGACCAGTTCCATGGCTTTTTAGCTAGCAGGCACTGGTAAAAGTGGCATCACTTAAAGGCAGAGTGAGAGCCCGCTCATCAAGAGATGGTATAAAAGTCCTAGAGCATGAACACTTACTGAACAACACCTACTACGTACAGAAAGCTGTCCTACGCAGCAGGCCAAGTGGGTGTCCAGCAGCAGCCTAGGCACACGCTGGGAGCAGAAGGGGACAGGTGGTGAGCAACAGGGCAGGTGGAGACAGCACAGAGAGCAGTGCTTGGTCGAGATGGTGACTTAGGAAGAGCTCCCTGTGGCCCAAGAGTGTGAGGTAAAAGGGTCACCCCAAGGGCAGAAGTTGGATGTGACACTGTATCAAAACCCAAACAGACCCCACCAAAAAACACGGAAAAAGGAAGTTCCCTAAACAGCTGCAGGACTGAATGACAGTGAAGCTAGCAGCTGAGCAGTCAGTGTGGCCCTCACTGCTGTAAGTTCTAGGGGTTACCTTCAAACCCCCCCCCCCCCCGGTAACCCCATCCTCGCTCTCCCTCCTAAACAAGAACCTGAGGGTCAGGGAAGGGCCGTGCCATGGCCGAGTCACCCTGCTGTGAAGGGGCAGAAGCCCTGCCTACTCTGTCCAGCCCTCTCTGTCACGAGAGCGGGTGGGGAGCCCCGCACACTACAGCCACGTGCATGGGTGGAAGCTGGCACAGAACCGGGGTGAGAAACAGAGGGCTGCTCGTGCTTGTGCTGAGCTCATCTGTTCCCATTTGCGTTCCAGTCCAGGGACCACAGGTCGGCAGTGCCAGCAGTGAGGACCTCAGCCTGCGCCACGCAGGAGGAGTGCAGTCTGCGCTGCCACGTGACCTCACTCACCCACCCCCACCAGGCACTGCAGAGGGGGAGGCTGACACAAGAAGACGGCCAAGAACAGGGCTTCTAGCCCCTTAGGGCTCTGGACAGAGTCTTGCAATCATATCTGAGTAAGCACTGGGGATGCAGAAGAAACATGGCAGCAATTTCTCTCATAACTCAAACTAGCACCGAAATTTTAAATAAATTTAAATATATATTATATATATATACCATGGAACCTCTTTTATTACTTAAATAAGGGATGGTGATCACTGTAACTCACTGAGAAACCGAAGGAATAAAAGTCACTTAAGTGAAGCAACTCTGCCACCTGGCGGGGCTGGACGTCACCACAGCCAGCATCCGAGCGCCTCCTCTGCAGAGCTCTCCAAGGGAGTTGGGGAACAAGTCCAGGTCCCTCCAGGGCAGGGAGGGCGCACTTGCTCTCCCAAAGTGTTTTGGTTTCTTAGAACCGCATGGTGCACCCCTCCCCAGTCCCACCGACGCTGTGATCTGATACACAAGCAGTGTGAACGCCCACACTTAGGGCACACGCTTCCAGCAGCTGCCCCCACAGGCGCTGCCTGTGTCTTCCCCCTCCCAGTAGGCACTTGAGGACGAGATGGTCTCTGCCCCTCTCCTCCCTGACTGTTGAGAGTGGACTATTAGGGTCCTAAAAGCTTCTTCCAGGGCTAACATTCCACGACTAATTCTTCACACTTCTTCATGTTAAATGTAAATGTTTTCCCTAGTAAGACAACGACAACATCCTCTGCCTTTGCCTGGGATGTGTGCGGCACCCACTGAGAAAGC